ATGAAGTGCTGTGTTGCTGCTAAATGTTTACACTATAACCGTCTACTAGTTCTAGCTCAGAAGCATATATAAAAAAAAAAAAATAGACGTACAAATGACTTGAAGGATTGTTCATCTAAACTGCATTTTTTTTTATACAAGTGGTCACCATTACACAACCATAATCTTTTGAAAGAAGCATTTCAAAGCCAAGAATTGAATTTAAAAAGGCTTATAGTGCACTAGGCATCAGCCATGTAACCTGGAAATAATTCAAAGAAGAACTGTTCCTCCTAATTCTTTTTAAAAGTATTGTTTAAATTGATGCAGAAATGTTTGGATGGTTGGAGAGACCAATGAATCATGTAATGGGAGATTTAGCTAATTCGAATAAAGACACTTAATGAATTAGAGCCTTCTATTGGACGCTAAAAAGAAAATGCTTCTCCAGTTTAAATTACTTCTTTCATTTGGTAACAAGTAATTGAATTATGTTTGCCCAACTTCATTTATTTAAATTTTTGACTTATAAACGTAAGAACTTGAACTTGACTTGATTCAGTTACTTGTTGCCAATTGAAACAAATCATTTACCGTAAGTTGGAGCACCATATTCACTACAGACACTTATTACTATATTATGTTCTCAAATATTTATCTATATAAGCAAATATTTATACGATTAAAACTTTAGACTAACTGTAGACATATATGAACACATTTTACTTCTCCCTAGTGAGATATTCAGCCTGAGAAATGTATTCTGTCAAAAAAGTGAGTCACTTCTAGGTAATGTTTTCAAGGTAATGTTTTTGATTAGTTTGTATACAAAGTATTTCATTTCAGGCTTTAAACTGTTACATTATGTCAATGATGCAGTTAACGTTTTAATTAAATTCTATTTTTAAGGTGTAAGTTGGATATTTATTCTAAAGGGCTGAATTAAACATTAAAGGGAGTGTAAGAGTGCGGACTATATGCATTATATTCATTAACTAAATAATGCATTTTTAGAATTATTACAGGGATTAAACTGGGTTTTACCCAAATCCTTCCAATAAAGATGCACATCGCTCTTGGTTCAGAAGCATCCAAGTTTGACTCACTTCAGTGCAGTCAAATGTTTTTAAATTAAACATGCAATCCAACAAACTTTCTTTCCTCTTGATCAAGAAGCTTTATTGTCCAAAAGACAAACTTAGAATTTCTTACCGTACTATGACGTGTCAGGCGGATCATATTGGCTAATTTCTTTCCTTTTTATGCCACTCAAAAAAGCAACAATAATAAATAGCAGTCAAAAGATGTATGGCTAAATCCAAGAATTCAACCGGCGCCAATAGCCAACTGCAATATATTCCAGGTGCTGCAGTCACCTGTCTATAATATAGGGGCGGAGGCAAGAAGCAGCGTAAATTATGCACTGCAGCAATGCAACACACAGCAATTATTTCATAATTTCATAATTAAGTCAACTCATACTTCAAATATTTCACGTTCATATATGTCATACCAAATCAGACAAATAAAGAAATAATAGAATATTCAATCATAAATCAAGCATTTGGCTCCAACACTGGGAATCTTTTTCCCATTTCAATAAATACTGCTCATACCAGAATAATCTTTCCTCCTCATGTCCCAGCGGAAATGTGTCTTGGTAGCAATCGGTGTAAACGCGTGAATACATGAGACGACAATACAGCTCAGGTGTTAGGGCAATTAAAACATAATTAAATAATGTGGCTACAGTAAAAAAAAAACAAAAAAAAAAACTGCATCCACTGATAACACATTGCTAAAATCACCAGAAATCTCCTTTTTATTCCAGTAAAATTTAGTTCTGTAATCTGTGGAAATGATATCACTGCTTTAAGATATCTGCTTGACTTATCTGGAAAGAGTATCTGATACTAAGTGTGGTGACCTAGATGGAAAAGCAAATGCACAGCTGTGTTGAAGCAAACCAGAACAAGGGAACAGAGAAAAATGGGAAAGTGACAGAAAAAATGTGGGCAAAAGGAAAAGGTAAAAGAGAATCTCCAGCTGATTGGACACCTGGAATGACAGATGGGTCAAAGGTCATGAAGGAGCTGTCAAGCTGTCACTGCAGTGTCCTTTCAGTGCTTTAACACAGGTTGACTAAAGGAAGAAACCTCTAAAAGTCACTATTTGCCAGTTTGTTTTATCATTTATATATTCTTCATTATCTCCATTGTTATATTTCATAATTTCTGCAATTCAAAACAGAAAAAGTTTCCCATGAGATTGATGATGCATCAGCGCCAATCAACTTTAAGGTAAAATAAAATAAAGCAAACGCCACAGTAGTGACACCTCAACCTCCAAAAGCAAAACATATCAAGGAAGGACAGCGATTAATATTAGTAATAATTAGTTACTAATATATTAGAATAATTATTAGTTATTCACATTTTAGCACACCATATCACAAAACGGAGTTTTTAATATAAACACAAAACAATACCTATTAACTTCTACTAGATCTCCAAAAAGTGTGTTTTATAAATTTATATATATGTATATATACTATTTACAATTTAAATTAAGAACATATTTGGTAATCTAATCTTTGTTTAGCAACTCATAATGACAGTTTAGGCAAAAAACATAAGAGTATGGTAACAGCCCTTTCCGAATGATGTGGTAATTTTATTTATTGATTGCATAATAAATAACATTACTTCAATTTAAATCCCTAGAAAAATGATGTATTGAAGTATGCAAGCTCATATTGAACAGAGATGAAGATTGGTGTAAGCAGATTTGAGTAATTGATTTCATAAGGAATGATTTTTCATAACAAAAGCCTGGCCTGCAGACAGCTTAAACTATCATTACAATTTTATTATCTGTATTGCAGCTAACAGCATCATTAGTCTATGCTTCATTGCTGCTCACTGCAGAAACAATTTACTTTATTGATAAATTGGAGAGAAAATAATTTGCAACAGCAAGCTGGTATTTAAATATGCATCTGAGGTTAAAACAGTTGACATGAATTTGTGAAATTCTCTTATCTTCCTTTATCAGAATATTCACTAAAGCAAACAACAAATGTTTTCAATACATTAGTTGACAAAAATATCGACATGACAACATCTAAAGTCACTACAGTCAATGAATGCCCAAACTCAACACCAGAGCAATGGATGAAGGCTGCTTTTTTTGTCTAATCCACAGTCATATAGCCTTTACCAGCTCTGATTGTGGTCTTAGTACACCAATTAAAAAGGACAAGAAATCAGGAGCTACTGGAGGTAAATAATCAGGACAGTATACAGTATATTGGGAAAATACCATTTCCTGGCCAGTTTAATGTTAATTTGACAAGTAGCGCCATCTTATGTCTTTTGCTCTTCCTAATTACAAAGTCAATTAACAACAGTGTCCTCATTTTGCATCAAAATATTCCAAACTGGGTCCCTTTGACATGTTGAGGCATGGATCTAATTGGACGTCTAGCGATGTGTTGATGTGCAAACATCTCGCAGGGTTTGCAAACTGTAAACCCTGCGAGATTGAGCCGGTGTAATATCTGAATGGTTTCACCCCAAAAAACCCACAGATACTTGATTGGATTTAAATCCAGAAAAAAAAAATATTCCAAACCCTTTATTAAAAAATGGAAACGGTCGGAGGGAAAGCAAAAACTTCTAAGACAGCCAAAGAAATAACAGTTATCTTCTATTTAAATACTTGTTATTGACTGAGATTCTACTACAACATTGTACAGGGTCTTTACAATGCTCAAGTAGGAGCAATATGTTAGGGTAACATCCACATGGATGGCAACACACTAAGCCTCCAAGCTGAATATTGCCCAAAGCCACGCACTGCCTCCAAAGTCTGTCTTCTTCCAATATTACACCCCAGTGCCATGTGTTTTCCAGGCGAATCCCATTTCCACACAATCCGCATGATGGACAATGGACAAAAATATGCATTGGCATCTGACAATGCAGACGTACCTACAAAAGCCAGAGCTGTCAAAAGCATTTATGTTTATTACTCAAGTAGAAATACTTTTTGTAACGCCATCTGTTTTAAAACAGAAGAAATTAGAGTATCAACTAAGCTTTTTACCTAAGTAAAAGTGTAAAGTACCATTTTTAAAACTACTTACAGTACAAAACTAAAAGTAGTGCATGAAAAAAATGTTAAGGACAGATGCTTTAAACGTTATACTGGTTACCGCACTACCTTATTAAATGAACAATTTCCTACTATTCTGAATGAAAACGTCCTTATACTTACTTAGTTACTATAACTAATGGCAACAGGGTCAAATTAAACTTTGCATAATCTTAAAAAAACTATTAGTTTTGGTATGTGGTAAAAAAAACAAGTTCCGGACAAAGAAATTGTCTGAATAAAATCATTTTTATGCTTTATTTATTTTTTAAATGCCAGAAGGCATAAGGAAAATTTGCTTAAATGAAACAAAACTAACAAGCCTACTTTTTTTAAATGTAATCAGTAGAAAGTAAAGATAATTGCAAAACAACTGCAAGTAGAGTAGAAATGGAAGATTTGTCTAAAAAATTAATTACTCCATTAAAGTGAAGACAGCCAAAATTTCTACTTAAGTAAGGTAATGAAGTATTTGTTCTTTTTTACTTGACACCTGTAAGAAAAGCAGAACCAGCTTGAACTGCAACCATCCAACCACATATGGCAAGTGCATCACAGGTCTTGGCTGACCTTGTCTCTTTTGCTTGATTTATGTCCCTAATTAGCGGTTCAAGGTACAGTAGCTTAAAAACGTTCACTTGAAATGTATTTTTAAAGTAAAAAAAAAACATCTGTTGGTTTTAATATGAAGGGAAAAGGTGATTTTTGGAGAGTTGATTTTTACATGTAAACAAAAGATTCACTACTGAAGACCTAATGACTTTCTGGTGTTTCTCAACATAAAAGCTTATTGCATCTGATGTTCTCACTGAAATTGTGACATTTTCAGAACATCTGGACTTCAAGTTTGCACTTATGTTGAGTACCTTGACGGGTTTCTTGCGCGCTAATTCTGCCTCGTTGTTCTCAGCCTCCTCGTGCTCCTTGCAGCCTTGGGGAAGGTTGGAGTAGTTGGCCAGGCTGCTGAGAAGGGACGACACCATGGGCCTGGTGTCCATTTCCTCCTGAAGAGACAATGACGAATGGATATAATCAGTTAGCAGTGTGTTAAATTTTGGATAATCTCCAGAATAACCCCAGTCGACGTTGGCAGATAGCCACTCACACTGAGCCTGGTTCTGCTGGAGGTTTCTTCCTGTTAAAAGGGAGTTTTTCCTCTCCATTGTCGCTACAAGCATGCTTAGTGTGAGGGATTGCCTTCAACTCAATGAGTTGATGCAATCAACTGCTTTTCCGTAAATGGAAAACTTTGAGTGTATACTGCAAAAAATATAAATCTCAATAAGTTATTTTTTCTTAAAATAAGTGTGTTTTTCCTTGATTTGAGGAGATAAGTAAGACACTTTGCCAATGGAACAAGACAATTTCCTTTTAAAATAAGAAAAAAATATTTTATCGTCTTATTTCAAGTAAATATTATCTAACTATCTTATTTTAAGAGTGAAAATACTCATTCCATTGGCAAATCATCTTATTTACCTGCTCAAATTAAGGCTAAATATACTTAATTTAAGCCATTTTTTACTTATTTCTGGATTGTTTTTGCAGTGAAAAACCTTGAGATGACATGTGTTGTGAATTGGTACAATATAAATAAACTGAATTGAATTGAAAACCACTGACTCTAGTTTTTTAATGAGTTATCTCCAAATTTGTAAAAGTTCAAGCAAAAACAAAATGAACACAGCACGTTTCCTATTAGATTGGGAAAAGTTATAAGGTCTCTCCTGTCACTGTGTAAAAGATGGTTGCATTAATACACAGCTCCTACATGCCCTTCTAACAATAACTACCTTCATTAATCAATGTCCGGGCCCTACGGTTAGATCCGTTAGACCCTGTGTCCAACTTTCAGTGCTGAACATGTGTATAAACCTTCTCCATGTACATGAGAGCGGGCCTGTGCAGATGAGATTTTACCTCAAACAAGGCCATGTTCTTGCCGTCATATTGTTGACTCTTTTCAGCTGCAGCTTCACTGCTGTTGATGAAGGGGCTGCTCTCTTTGGGATTACTGTCACCTGAAAGAAACAAGACACAGATATGTTTTAGGGCTGCACTGAAATAAAACAGGCACATAAAGGACAAACCTGCAGGGGGAGGTTTTTCTGACTTACATTAAGCCCCTTTTGGGTACAAAGTCACTTTCAAAAGCACAGACTTTTTAAAAAGATCTTTCTATTTCTGATTAGGTGAAGAGAGACACACACGAGGCTTTAAGTACAGGATGTTAGCCAAGAAAGGACGGGAGGCTTGTCATCTCTGTCAGAGGGGGGAAGAAACAGAATGAAAGCTAATGGACTGTGCAATCGCAATATGTGCAATGCTATATATCCCATATGTCCAAGACCAGAAGATCTCAATCAGGTTCAAGAAACACTAAGATGTTTTTAAACCATCTCTGAAAGGAAAACAAGCACCACTGAAACATCATAAGGAATTCTTTCCAGCTTCCTTGTCAACAAAACCCAGAGACAAAGAGGCAGAGTGATGTTATTTCGGGTGACAGCAAGCTTAAGGCATCAAGGCTCCATGTACAAGCATCTGTCCACAAGTTCCCTTGCCCAGACCAAGCCGGGTCTTTGAACAACCCAAAAAAAAATTTAACTAAAAAAAGTTTTAAAACAATGTGATGAAAGTTTCTGCAACTGTCTGTCTGCAAACCTCTTTGATTTCCATGATATAATTGACAATATCACTGATGTCATGCATCGGACCATGATAACATAACTTTTGCAGCATTAGTAAACAAATCACCTCATTTCAGTTGTTCCCTTTACAACAGCAGCTATTATTTTAATTTGATAAACAGGCTTTATTTACTCTGTAATTGGGCTCTAACTCTGACACTACCTTAGTTATGTCACTGAGTTGGACTCATATGACTTGGATGTCACCTAAATATGAGATCAGTTTAGTTTCTGATGGATGTCACATTAATACAAATAACCTAAATACTTTGAAATCATCTATGTGTAATTACGTTTTAAAATCCATATTTATTAGCAAAATTTTGTGAAATCTTTTTTAGTAGCACGTTGCTCATGTTCGGCACTGACAGACTGCAGTTCATCCCAGCAGTCAGGACTTTACATGTGATGAAGAAGGGAGTTTTTCCACTCCACTGTCGCTACAAGCATGCATAGTGTGAGGGATTGCCATCGAGTCAATGAGTCGATGCAATCAACTGGTTTTCCTTAGCTAACTTTGAATCAATTTGACTGTATGATCTGGTACAACTGTAAAGTGCCTTGAGATGACATGTGTTGTGAATTGACGCTATATATAATCTGAATTGAATTGATGTAGAACCAAGACTTCTTTTCATCAAATGGTCACTGAACCTTTTTATTACACTCTTAATTTAAATAGACAAAAATTATTTATCAGCAGCAATTAAAAAAACATAATGACTCTAAAAGCATATTTATTAATTCCTATATCTGTGGTGTGAAACATGGGTGGGTTTGTTATGTCAGGCAGCCATAGCAGTCTATGTTCGTAAGTGTGCTCCTATGGTTGAGAAGATTACCACTGTAAGATGGTATTTCAAATTATTTTACAAATATCTTAAGTTATAAACATTTCAATATAATACACTTTACCAATAGAAGTTTAAATCATGTAATGTAAAATCAGTTTACGTTTAACTGTATTCTGAGGAATAAAATTACAACATGAACAATTTCAAATTGTCTGGGTTGTAAATTTTTTTTTTATCCACACAATTTAAAAATGTGTTTTAGCATCTTTCAAAGGGACCACTTGCTTTTTGGAGTCTTTAACCAACATCAGCATAATTCTGGTATGATATCTGACTATCCCACTTGGAAGGATTAAGACAGTTTATGTAAAATGCTGAACTTCTTGTGTCATTTAACGATACCATAAGAGCAAATGTCAGCTTCTCTATGGAGAACGGAAAAAATACAAACTGAATTTCCACAGACTAAACCATCAAAATGGATCATGAGATCAAACCATGTTGAATCTGAGCCCATTTTCTGTTCTGTTCTTATGGTGCATGAACCTGTGGAGATAAGCTGAGGGTTTTAAGGTACAAGAGTGGAAGAATGAACTTTCGTCAAGGTGCAAGTTCATCTGTCTTTCTAGCTTCTCTCTTGGACTATCACACAGAAAAGTATAGCCAAAAAAATGCCAGTGAAAGCGCAGGCGTTGAATTTAATGTAAAGGATTCTGTTTGCAGAATTAAAATGAATCGAAATTTGTTTAAGAACATCCCGCTTACAGTCCAAATAAGTGCGCAATTTAAGTATTTTTTCTGAGAATGAATGCAGAAGAAAAAAATAGAAAGTACTGGAAATAAGTGTATTCTATCGGGATGTATTCCAATAAGCTTATTTCAATTTTTATTACTGAATGGACATCGTGTGGAAGCTAGAGAGCTCAAATACAAAAAAAATGAGAGAAAAATAGGAAAAATTATTTAGAGAAATTTTAATAACAAATAGCGTTTTCAAAATAGTTTATGTGGCAACTGAGGAGAATGAAGTACTTGTAAACAAACTCTCCAGAGCCAGGCTGCAATTAATATATAACAGTGCATTTGGATTGCTAGCTAGCATATGATAGCTTATGTATTTTCTTAAACTGTCATTTATAAAAACTCAATCACTAAAGCAGGCGTCCAAGCTGATGATTTCAGTTTTGACCCATATGAACCAGACTTCTTCTTGTTAAATGGAAAATAAGACAATACCGATTGCTTCTATTAATCAAACCTTTAAAAAAGCACCATGGATGCTGAGGACAACAAAAAAATTAGAAAATCACAAAAAATGATTAAAGCAATTTGATCACCATAAACAGCAAAGGTCTTGGTTGTGAAGGTTGCACGGTGTCAACTGTCTCATTTGCACCTTCAAGCATAACTTGAGGAAGACAGCAGATTGCTCTCCCTCTGGCTCTCGGTCTCGTCTTGGACTGAACACTGTGAGACCGGGTTATTTTTAGCCAGAATGCTGCAGCTATGATGTCGGAGCAGGGCTAACAGACGGCACGCCGTTGTGTGGAGACAACCGAATGTAGGGCCACTCAGACAGAGGGCACAGAGAAAATAGGGCAGCGTTGAAGGATTGTGGTTGAAAACAGCAGAGAAGCGAAATAATTAAAAAGGTAGCAGTTCAGTGAAAGGGGTAAAAGTAAGAGTGCAGATAAAAAGATGGAAGAAGAGACAGATAGATGGTGTGAGAGTGAACAGATAAAGTGGGAAGCCGCAGAGGGAGAGTGGAGCCACACTGTAAAATGTAAAAGCTCCTGCAACATTTAAGGTTCAGCTCACTTTGACCTGAAGGTTAAAATAAACATAGCTGGTAGAAGGGAAAGTAAAGTGTCCCGCAAAGAGCATGAGGATTACTCTGTTATTTTGCAGACAGCTTCTATCATCCATGAATCACATCCGTAAATGGTAAAAGATGGATGGATGGACGGACAGACGGATGAATTTTGAAGGTGTCATTTGCAACATGCTATAAATTGTAAGTTTGCTTTATCAAGTCCAAATCAAAATTTCTTTATCAGTTCCAGTGAGTTCCTGATGGAAACATAATTCTTTGTATTGAGAGCTGTCCCCTTCACAACAGTGATTTAATTTATATGCAAAAAAGTAAAAAAAGATCAACGAGATTTAAAGGGGAGTGGTTAGCTGTATGTCAAAATGACTAACATGCTTGTAAAGCATTAAAGCATTTCGAATTCCCCTGATTAAACCAGCAGTTAAGCCTAAAGCGCTTCTACTTATGACCTACAATATAACTCTCATTGTTGGCTAACATGGAAAAGCTTCACAAATTATATATCTCTTAGGCTGCTTCAATGAAAGACATTCATATTTGTGAATGAGTTTTTGTAAAGGTTTAACAGTGGAAACAGAGCAGCTCTTAAAGAACCAAAAGAACAATTGTTAACATGCACACCCTGTATCAAAAAGTCACAAAGGCAACTACTCATTTTTATCATTTACCTCTACCTTTATAATTCAAATCTCATCCTCAAAGGAATAATGGATTAATTCATTTTTTTGACAATTCTGGAAATAGTTTTGCACTGACCCCATCAGTAAAGCAGCTTATCCATTTCCTGTCTGATGGGATCTGTACAACAATGGCTCTAGCTATTAAAGCCTCTTTTATAGTTGAAATGCAGAACTTCACCACTCACTGTGTGTCTTTCTGTCCGTGGAAATCCATCATCATACTTTAAGTTTCACATCTGATATTTTTTTAATAGTTGGTGCTTAGTGCACACAGGCTTATACTGGGCTTACTGTCATGCCATCAACCAAATGAAAGAATTTTTCTCTTTTATACTGTTTCTGTATTTCATGTGCCTTTTAATCCTTTATTTATATATTATATTATCTTCTAAGTAGCTTAATATTAAATTAGACTAAGCATTAAAATATCTCTTTTATATTTCATAAAAAATTGTAAACAAATAAATAAGTTTTTCTAGAATTTAATGTTGAGGCAATATTAAAGGGGCTTAGTTTTCTAATCATACTGCCACCTGTGGCCAAAACACAGAACTGCAGCACTCTTCGGCTTGTTTTTTTTTTTTTACTTTTCTTATTTGTCTGAGTTGAGCTGGCTATAAGTCGCTTCTGAGGATCCACAAAATTCATCTTGAACTACTACGCTTCAATTGTTAGCAAGTTTGAAAATATTAAGTGAGGACACAGTTAATGATACATCTGCAGAAACAACGTGGGGATTTCTGACCGACAGTGCTTTTAGGGAAAATTGGCCACAGGCTTACAGATGCATCAATGCTGAACTACTAACGTGTCACTCTTCTAATCAATATTTCAGTCGCAAAGGATCAAATAAAAAGGCTATTGTAAAGATATTTTTCACTAAAGACTAAAAATAATGTCTCTGTAAATTATGTATACTGAACGTTTTAGTTTTAAACATTTAAACTGGTAAGTCAGCATGTTTAAAAATTATTTGCATAGCCTCTATCAATTTTATCCACGGCTATGAATAAAGTTATTCTTGTT